TGAGTGAGACAGGAGGAGTTCCTGCACCTATTCACTGTGAAAAAAAGCCCTGCTTACAGACGTCCAGACAGTGGGTATAAGTTTCCAACCTTGATCAAATCTAGCAGCTTGATGGACTAAACAGTTCAAAAACCAGCTCACAAACAGCAGTTTCAAGAAGTTATACATGACTCAGATAGGAGTAATGCCTGAGGTGAGTGGTAGGGTTGGACCCATAGGAGTGGGAATTGGTTCTGACGGATATACAATGAAGTGAGTCTTCCATCAAAGAAGCTGTTCTGTGATGAAAGTATAGTGTACTTGGACCTTCTTCTGATCCTAGGCTGCCAATTCTCTGATCATGACAAAAGGATCCCTCAGTTGATGATACATTCTTGGATGGGTACTGAGGAGTGTCTAGTAAAAAAGTTCATGTCACTTTAAGGTCTTTTTGAAATGCTTGTTGGTTAAGAGCATTAAATGCAGCCAATGAGCTTCAGGTGAAGGGTTTCCCTCTTCTTCAGGGCTTGAACAGTTGATGTTATTAGAAACACGATGGAATGCATTAGAAGACCTATGTTAAGGATCGATACAGTTCATCACCTCCCAGTAAGCACTCGGAAACATCATGATGCTAATAAAATCAACTGATCAAGCCCTGAAGAAGGGCGAAGCCCTTGCACCGAAACAAAATGTGTTGGCTGTATTTGATGGTCATAACCAAAAAATGTTTCAAAACGTCCTTGTACCTAAAATGGCTTTTTGTACTAGGTGCTCCTCAATACCCATCCGAGACAGATATGAGTAATGCCCTGATATGAGATCTAACTGTGTCTCCCCACTGCTCCCCATAAAAGCTGCTAGAAAAAAAGGGATGTTTTGTACTCACCATAAAATTCTTTTCTTCATTAGTTCATTGAAGAACACAAATCTTTCCCCACTTGTGGTTGCCCCTTGCGTTGTTGACCTGTTGCTGTTAGGATTGGGTGTCTTATGTTAGGGTGGTGTCTGTCCTGTCTCCATACAGTTTGGGCTGGACTTCCTCTCCATGGCTATGATACATACACTCACCGGCCACTTTATTAGGTACACCTGTTCAATTGCTTGGTAACACAAATTGCTAATCAGCTAATCACATGACAGCAACTCAATGCATTCAGGCCTCTAGACGTGGTGAAGACGACTTGCTGAAGTTCAAACCGAGCATCAGAAAGGGGATTTAAGTGACTTTTGAACATGGCTGGTCTGAGTGTTTCAAAAACTGCTGATCTACTGAGATTTTCACACACAACCATCTCTAGAGTTTACAGAGAATGGTCCAAAAAAGAGAAAATATCCAGTGAGCGGCAGTTGGGTGGACAAAAATGCCTTGTTGATGTCAGAGGTCACAGGAGAATGGGCAGCCTGGTTCCAGATGACAAAAAGGTAACAGTAACTCATGTCGATAGGGGCCAAAATATCTGAGGAATGTTTCCAGCACCTTGCTGAATCTATACCATGAAGAATTAAGGCAGTTCTGAAGAAAAAAGGGAAGTCCAACCCGGTACTAGCAAGGTGGACCTAATAAAGTGGCTGGTGAGTGTAAAGTGGATGAGGAGCTGCTAAGCAGTGTGGTGCATGAGAAGAACTAGCTATGAAGAAGTTCATCAAGTGGTGGTAAGATAACTGCATGCTTTTCCCACATTGGGCCTTAGCTTTGGCCTGGGTCAGCAATGTCAGGGTATTGGACTGTGGGAATGGCCTATGCAGAGACTCAGATCTGGACCATGGCAATCAATGCCTCAATGCAGGAGCATGTGTTTTTGTGAAGAGTATGGTTATGCCAATAACTGTGCTATCAGTGTTATCAAGTAAAAAACACTAAAGAAAAGCAAGTTTCCTGATCTGACATTCCATTAATGGGCTAGCGGAAAGGTATGTAATACCTATTATAGGGTGGAGGCTTCTCACACCCTGGTGGGCCTGATACACAGCAATAGCAGATGTCTGGTGTCTGTTCTTTTGGTCCTCTGGGCAGAAGGCAGAACAAAGAGGATTCCACTGCTGTTCTAAGATGTGAGTTATGGACACTAATCCAGGAAGCAATAGGCCCTCCGAGTCTCTGTGATATTACAGGTCAACCGGTTCAGCCACCCATGGACTGTGAGGTTGCCTTCACCAAGGACCACATGCCCATGTGCAGCTTCGTAGGCCCTGTGGTGACAGGAGGGTAATGAGTACCCTAGCAGTACAGGAGTATTGGCTGCCCAACCTCTAGTGTCCCATGATTTACCTTCTGGTGTGGGAACTTGCTTATCAACTGCTGTCAGAGGGTGCTACAGGGGTATAGCTACTAGAGAGATCTGCACCCTTTGCTTTGCCTAGTCCTTCACCACCTAGACCTACAGGATGCAGTAAGACAAGGATGGGCAAGCCAGGTCATGCAAATCGGTACAGATAACGTTTTTGTCACAAAAAAAAACTTCACAGCTAATGCATTTTCAAAGCTGTACACAAATCCCCACCCAGCATCCTGGCAGAAAAAAAAGTTGAAGTCAACTATTCTCCAAAAACCACAAAAATGCAAACTTTGAAGGTATTCTGTGTAACAGAAATGGAAAAATAAAAAACAAGCAAAAGCACCTGAAAACCCCACAATGCATAAAAAAAGCACAAGCAAGCAAATTCACAGCCAGACTCCGTGCAATTTTAACAATTACAACGTGAAAGAAAACTGAAATATTTTTAGTTCCCATTTTTTACAATCTCATCTATCAAGGAATTTTTTAACAATAGATAATGAGGAGGGAGGTAACAATAGTAAACGCATTACCCACTTGCCGCCCGCCAACAGTACATTTACTAAGGGGGTGGGCAGCAGCTCCAGGGTCAGTGACGTACCCACATGTCACAACTTACTTTGTTTTTTTGGGCGAGCGTACGTGCGGCGCCTGATGATCTGTACTGTGATCTGTAGGTTATATCCAACGATTTTGGCTGTATAACTGCTGATTGGCTGTGGCAAATCACAACACAGACTTCTGTGTTTACATACACATAGAGCACAGAACACCAAACACAGAACAGTGATCTGGCTGTTTCTTCTACCTGAAATGAACTCTGAGTTTTAGGAGAAAAGACACCCAGATCCTGCGAGTAAAAGCACCACATATACACTTGTTAGGCACACAGTTAACCCCTTGATTGGCACACAGTTAACCCCTTGATTGCCTTCTGATCACCCCTGTCACCCAGCCAGTGTCATTACTACAGTATTAACACTGATCACTGTATTAGTGTCACCAGCGACATCAGTGTCACTTAGTGTCCCTCCCAGCCAGTGTCAGTTAGTATCCCTCCCAGCCAGTGTCAGTTAGTGTCCCTCCCAGCCAGTGTTAGTTAGTGCCAGATTGCCCACCACACCACCGCCATAACTAGTTTAATGTCAATATCTACGTAAATTTGAGTATATATACCATAGCTTGTAGACGCGATAACTTTCATATAAACCAATTAATATACACTTATTGGGATTTTTTTTTTTTACCAAAGGCATGTAGCAGAATACATTTTAAACCAAGATTTGTTTTTTTTTTTAATATGTTTTTTCTTCAAAATATTCAGTCTTTTTATATATTATTATTATTATACAGGATTTATGGCGCCAACAGTTTGCTCAGCACTTTACAATATAACGGGAGACAATACAGCAACAATACAGTTCAATACAAGAGGGATAGGAGGGCCCTGATCCTTGGAGCTTATACTGTATATAATATAAAATGTAAAAAAAACCTGGTGGTGATTAAACATCACCAATAGAATGCTCTATATGTGTGAAAATAAATGCTATAAACTTCATTTGGGTACAGTGCTGTATGCCTGAGCAATTGCCAGTTAAAGTAGCACAGTGCTGAATATCAATTAATGTTCTCGTCATGAACCTTTCCGGAGGTCAAGTGGTTAAAGGGAATCGGGCACTTTTCTGATCCAGAGCCAATGGTGGCTCCATCTGAATCCGAAAGAAAAGAAGAGCCACTAACCTTGCAGAGTGGTACCCATCCATTTCTCTCTATGAAACAAGCACATTGCATCTTTACATCCTCATGAAGAAAGGAGGAGATTTGGGATACACTGATAGAGTCATCACCATGTCATGCACATACAATGTATGAATGTTATGGCAGGGCTTTGGTTGCTTTCTTTTATCATGAGCTAGGTTTGAGCACAAGACTCATCAAACTAAATGTGGGTGAGGACCAAGACTGAGGGCTGTGATTATTAAAAAAAAAATAGTGACCACAACAGTGAACCACAATGTAACCGCAATATCTCTACTGTCTGCTGGGCTGTTTCCTCTTTTTCCATGCAGAGAGACAAAAGATTTGCATAAGAACAAAACATTTATTAACCCTTTTGCTGTCAGAGCTGTTTTTGTGGGGTTTTTGGTACCCATGAGAGCTCACCCCATTATCAGCAAGGAAGTGGTAACAAATGTCATGAATTGGACACATAATGGTGGCCATACACTAGTGAGTTATTTCTTGATTGATCTCTTCCAATAGGAATAACTGATACAGGCAACAAGCCATTCAATTGATAAGCCACACAAGGATAAGTGGATTTTTATTGATAGCTAACTTAGGAACCTATGATCATAAATTACCAATCACTTATCTGTTTCCATCCTGTACTCTCAACATCTGATCAATCAAATTGTGACCATAGTTATGAACAAAGTATCTTAGTGCTGCCAATTGACACAAAATGATCACAAAATGAATCCAAATTGAGTCTAAATCAATTGGAGGGGAAGTTATGGTTATTCGATGGTTTGTGGATTCAATAGTTTTGTTCAAATGGCACAACGATCTGATAATAACAGCGGTGTGAATATTTTTTTAAAAACTACTTGTCCAAGGCTTAATTTGGGGTCCCAATCTACTTGCCCTGATAAAAAAAATAATTTTAACCAAAACTGTATTTAAATAAGGTATTATTTGTTATAATACTAATGAATGAGAGTTTTATTACTAGGGATTTTCAATGGATGTACACTGTATTGCCAAAAGTATTGGGCCAGCCCTCCAGCTCATTGGATTCAGGTGTTCCAATCACCTCCATGGCCACAGGTGCACCTAGGCATGCAGACTGCTTCTACAAACATTGGTGAAAGAATGGGTCGCTCTCAGGAACTCAGTGACTCCAAGCGTGGTCCCGTGATAGGTTGTCACCTGTGCAATAAGTCCATCCGTGACATTTCCTGGCTGCTAAATATTCCACGCTCAACTGTTAGTGGGATTATAACAAAGTGGAAGCAACTGGGAAAAACAGCAACTCAGCCACCAAGTGGTAGGCCACGTCACATGACAGAGCGGGGTCAGCGCATGCTGAAGCACACAGTGCGTAGAAGTTGCCAACTGTCTGCAGAGTCAATAGCTAAAGACCTCCAAACTTCATGTGGCCTTCAGATTAGCACAACAACAGTGCATATAGAGCTTCATGGAATGGGTTTCCATGGCCGAGCAGCTGCATCCAAGCCTTACATCACCAAGTGCAATGCAAAGCGGCGGATACAGTGGTGTAAAGCACGCCACCACTAGAGCAGTGGAGACGTGTTCTCTGGAGTGACAAATCACGCTTTTCTGTCTGCCAATCCCATGGACGTGTCTGGGTTTGGCGATTTCCAGGAGACTGGTACTTGCCTGACTGCATTGTGCCAAGTGTAAAGTTTGATGAAGGAGGGATTATGGTGTGGGGTAGTTTTTCAGGAGTTGGGCTTGGCCCCCTAGTTCCAGTGAAGGGAACTCTTAAAGCATCAGCATACCAAGACATTTTGGAAAATTTCATACTCCCAACTTTGTGGGAACAGTTTTGGGATGGCCCCTTCCTGTTCCAACATGACTGAGCACCAGTGCACAAAGCAAGGTCCATAAAGACATGGAGGAGTGAGTTTGGGGTGGAGGAACCTGACTGGCCTGCACAGAGTCCTGACATCAACCCCATAGAACATCTTTGGGATGAATTAGAGCAGAGAATGCAAGCCAGGCTTTCTCCTAAACCTTGTGGACAGTCTACCCAAGAGTTGAAGCTGGGAGAACTGGGCCAAGGGTGGGCCAACTCAATATTGAACCCTATGGACTAAGACTGGGATGTCATTAAAGTTCATGTGCGTGTAAAGGCAGGCGTCCCAATACTGATGGTACCCCCTTATGTATAGCCTTGGGAGCAGGCGATTTACTGCTGCTAGCAGGAAATTGCCTGCTACCAGGGCCATAGATAATAGGGTACCATAGTCCTTCAGTACAAGGCCCAGGCCAGCAAACGGATACCACCAGTCCTCCTGCCCAAGCCAGCAAGGGAAACCAGGCAGCTGGGTGAAATGGATATGGACAGAGAGGATGATTAGCATGGCGGGGTGGCAATTACTGGAACTGCCACCCCGTATGCTCCAGACAAATATTTTTGGGGGTGCTATGCTGGTGCTGGACGTATGATTGGGGGTGCCACACCACGCACATGTGGGTGTAGGCAAAAAGGGGTGTGGCCAGCAAGTTGACATTTCTTCATGGTCTATGGCTTGTAGTTTATTACTTTTCTCTCTTTTGTGTAGACCAAATAAGACCTGGGGGCTGAACTGACAAGACTGTGGGATTAAAATAAGCCCAGCTGAGGCCAGAAAATATAACCCCAGCTTGTGTTAAATTTAGCAATAACCCCCAGCACAGCATATTAATTAACTCCCAGCATACCACAATAATTAACCCACAGGAGGACACAGAAATTGTTTGCCTGATCCTGCATCGTCACTTCCTCACTGGCTGAGCCAATAGGGTGTCACCCATCACTGTTCGCCCATTGGTAGGTGCGATTCTGCAGCATTTCAGCCAACACAGGAGGGATGGTGTAGGAAGTGAGGAGTCTCTCTACCGATGTCCCATGGCCAAAACAGGAAGTGAGAGGAACTCCCTCCAAAGTAAGGGAATCCCTCGAATCAGTGTCCCCATTGGAGGATTTCCCTTCTCTTCCTGTTTTGGTGACAACCCAAAATTTGGGAATTTCCTTCACTTTTACTCTTGATGACAATGAAGTAGAGAGGGGGAATCTCCCTAACACAAACAGCAATAAAAAAAAAAACCTTACAGGGATTCTAATCCCTCTCCACTCTAGCCAAAACTAAAAAAAAAAGAAAAGTTTCACCTTCAGTAACACTGCGATTCTGACAACTCAAAAAAGAAACCAAAAAGAAGAAGAAGGCCAGCAATCGAAACCAACATTTTCCCACCAGCACAGACTTCCTGCATTTAGAATTAGTACAATCAGTCTGTATATGCAGTAAAGCATGCTTGTTATACTCATTGTGGAACCTTAGGTGGTTAATCCTCTGGATTGTGTAAAAAGGCTGTTTGATCCTGTTTTCTCTCATCCTCCCCTTCTTCTACTGTACATTTGCTGCGGCAAAGAAGCTGAAGGACCAGATTGTGGCACTGAGCATGGTGCAATTTTTCATGTTTGTTTTGCAGTGATTTTTGCACGATTTGTCCTGCAACAATCACGGCAAAATAGTAACACCTCATCTAGAATATGCAGTTCAGTTTTGGGCACCAATTCACAAAAAGAACATTGGGGAACTGGAGAAAGTACAGAGAAGGGCACCAAACTAATACGAGGCATGGGGGAGATTAGAGGAAATTAATTTATTCTCTACTGAGAAGAGGAGATTAAGGGGGGATATGATCTCCGTGTATAATACATAAGGGGGGATATGATCTCCATGTATAATACATAAGGGGGATATGATCTCCATGTATAATACATAAGGGGGGATATGACCTCCATGTATAATACATAAGGGGGGATATGATCTCCATGTATAATACATAAGGGGGGATATGATCTCCATGTATAATACATAAGGGGGATATGATCTCCATGTATAATACATAAGGGGGGATATGATCTCCATGTATAATACATAAGGGGGATATGATCTCCATGTATAATACATAAGGAGGGGATATGATCTCCGTGTATAATACATAAGGGGGATATGATCTCCGTGTATAATACATAAGGGGGGATATGATCTCCGTGTATAATACATAAGGGGGATATGATCTCCATGTATAATACATAAGGGGGGATATGATCTCCATATATAATACATAAGGGGGGATATGATCTCCATGTATAATACATAAGGGGGGATATGATCTCCATGTATAATACATAAGGGGGGATATGATCACCATGTATAATACATAAGGGGGGATATGATCACCATGTATAATACATAAGGGGGGATATGATCTCCATGTATAATACATAAGGGGGATATGATCTCCATGTATAATACATAAGGGGGGAGATATGATCTCCAGGTATAATACATAAGGGGGATATGATCTCCATGTATAATACATAAGGGGGGGGGGTATGATCACCATGTATAATACATAAGGGGGGGGATATGATCTCCATGTATAATACATAAGGGGGGAGATATGATCTCCAGGTATAATACATAAGGGGGATATGATCTCCATGTATAATACATAAGGGGGGGATATGATCACCATGTATAATACATAAGGGGGGATATGATCTCCATGTATAATACATAAGGGGGATATGATCTCCATGTATAATACATAAGGGGGATATGATCTCCATGTATAATACATAAGGGGGGATATGATCTCCATGTATAATACATAAGGGGGATATGATCTCCATGTATAATACATAAGGGGGGATATGATCTCCATGTATAATACATAAGGGGGATATGATCTCCATGTATAATACATAAGGGGGGATATGATCTCCATGTATATTACATAAGGGGGGATATGATCACCATGTATAATACATAAGGGGGGATATGATCACCATGTATAATACATAAGGGGGGATATGATCTCCATGTATCATACATAAGGGGAGATATGATCTCCATGTATAATACATAAGGGGGGATATGATCTCCATGTATAATACATAAGGGGGAATATGATCTCCCTGTATAATACATAAGGGGGGATATGATCCCCATGTATAATACATAAGGGGGGATATGATCTCCATGTATAATACATAAGGGGGGATATGATCACCATGTATAATACATAAGGGGGACATGATCTTCATGTATAATACATAAGTGGGATATGATCTCCATGTATAATACATAAGGGGGATATGATCTCCATGTGTAATACATAAGGGGGGATATGATCACCATGTATAATACATAAGGGGGGATATGATCTCCATGTATCATACATAAGGGGAGATATGATCTCCATGTATAATACATAAGGGGGGATATGATATCCATGTATAATACATAAGGGGGAATATGATCTCCATGTATAATACATAAGGGGGGATATGATCCCCATGTATAATACATAAGGGGGGATATGATCTCCATGTATAATACATAAGGGGGGGTATGATCACCATGTATAATACATAAGGGGGACATGATCTTCATGTATAATACATAAGTGGGATATGATCTCCATGTATAATACATAAGGGGGATATGATCTCCATGTGTAATACATAAGGGGGGATATGATCACCATGTATAATATATAAGTGGGATATGATCTCCATGTGTAATACATAAGGGGGGATATGATCTCCATGTATAATACATAAGGGGGGATATGATCACCATGTATAATACATAAGGGGGGATATGATCACCATGTATAATACATAAGGGGGGATATGATCTCCATGTATAATACATAAGGGGGGATATGATCACCATGTTTAATACATAAGGGGGATGTGATCTCCATGTATAATACATAAGGGGGGATATGATCTCCATGTATAATACATAAGGGGGGATATGATCTCCATGTATAATACATAAGGGGGATATCATCTCCATGTATAATACATAAGGGGGGGATATGATCTACATGTATAATACATAAGGGGGGAGATATGATCTCCAGGTATAATACATAAGGGGGATATGATCTCCATGTATAATACATAAGGGGGGGGGGATATGATCACCATGTATAATACATAAGGGGGATATGATCTCCATGTATAATACATAAGGGGGGATATGATCTCCATGTATAATACATAAGGGGGATATGATCTCCATGTATAATACATAAGGGGGGATATGATCTCCATGTATAATACATAAGGGGGATATGATCTCCATGTATAATACATAAGGGGGGATATGATCTCCATGTATAATACATAAGGGGGATATGATCTCCATGTATAATACATAAGGGGGGATAGGATCACCATGTATAATACATAAGGGGGGATAGGATCACCATGTATAATACATAAGGGGGATATGATCTCCATGTATAATACATAAGGGGGGATAGGATCACCATGTATAATACATAAGGGGGGATATGATCTCCATGTATAATACATAAGGGGGGATATGATCTCCATGTATAATACATAAGGGGGGGTATGATCTCCATGTATAATACATAATGGGGGATATGATCACCATGTATAATACATAAGGGGGGATATGATCTCCATGTATATTACATAAGGGGGGATATGATCACCATGTATAATACATAAGGGGGGATATGATCTCCATGTATCATACATAAGGGGAGATATGATCTCCATGTATAATACATAAGGGGGATATGATCACCATGTATAATACATAAGGGGGGATATGATCACCATGTATAATACATAAGGGGGGATATGATCTCCATGTATCATACATAAGGGGAGATATGATCTCCATGTATAATACATAAGGGGGGATATGATCACCATGTATAATACATAAGGGGGGATATGATCTCCATGTATAATACATAGGGGGGATATGATCTCCATGTATAATACATAAGGGGGGATATGATCACCATGTATAATACATAAGGGGGACATGATCTTCATGTATAATACATAAGTGGGATATGATCTCCATGTATAATACATAAGGGGGGATATGATCTCCATGTATAATATATAAGGGGGGATATGATCACCATGTATAATACATAAGGGGGGATATGATCACCATGTATAATACATAAGGGGGGATATGATCACCATGTATAATTGCCCCTTAATATAAAATGTATCCATCATAGTTCCCCTTAACATAGAATGTACCCATCAGAGTGCCCATTTGTGTACAGAGGTATTGAAATAAAATTCAAGGAGGTCCGGTCACTAAAATTTTCTTCTCCGAATAGGGTGTGCCCATCAGTGTGTCCCTTTGCATTAGGTGTTGCCATCAGAGTGCAGCTTTATATCATGTATTCCCAGGTGTGCCCATCAGAGTGCTCCTTTACATCAGGTATTCCTGTCAGAGTACCTCCTTAGACTCAAAGTACCCCTTTCCATCATATTTCCCCATCAGTGCCCCTTTCCATCACATGTGCCCATCAGAGAGCCCCTTTCCACAGTATGTACCCTGAAAACCCACCTCTTCAGGGAAGCCTACCCCACCCCCTGCTAACTTGCTGACCTCCTCTACTCTGCCTACCACTCCATCCCCCACAGCTATCTCCTCCTCCTATACCACTATCCCCTCCCTCCTAGATTGTAAGCTCCAAAGAGCAGGGCCCTCAATCCCCTCATGTTTTGCATTGTATTGGTATTGTTCTGTCACATGTTCTGTCCCCCTTTGTAATGTACAGCGCTGAGCGAACTGTTGGCGCTTTATAAATACTGTATAATAATAATAATTTGTGCCCCCTTAACATAAAATGTGCCCATCAGAGTGCCCCTTAATATAAATGTGCCCATCAGAGTGTCCCTTAATATAAAATGTGCCTATCAGAGTGCCCCTTAATATAAATGTACCCATCAGCATGCCTCTTATTTTATGTTAAGGGGGCACGCTGATGGGCATTTTTTAGGTTAAGGGGCACTCTGAAGGGCACATTTTATATTAAGGGGCACTCTGGTGGGCACATTTATATTAAGGGGGCACAAATGGGCACATACTGTGGAAAGGGGCACTCTGATGGGCACATGTGATGGAAAGGGGCACTGATGGGGAAATATGATGGAAAGGGGTACTTTGAGTCTAAGGAGGCACTCTGACAGGAATACCTGATGTAAAGGAGCACTCTGATGGGCACACCTGGGAATACATGATATAAAGCTAGATTGTAAGCTCGAAAGAGCAGGGCCCTCGATCCCCTCATGTTTTGCATTGTATTGGTATTGTTCTGTCACATGTTCTGTCCCCCTTTGTAATGTACAGCGCTGAGCGAACTATTGGCGCTTTATAAATACTGTATAATAATAATAATAAATAAAGCTGCACTCTGATGGCAACACCTAATGCAAAGGGACACACTGATGGGCACACCCTATTCGGAGGAGAAAATTTTAGTGACCGGACCTCCTTGAATTTTATTTCAATACCTCTGTACACTCTCACTGTACTAATGACCCTGGCTGGGAAGCAGTTAACTTTTTTTTTAAAGTTTCAGTCTTTTTTTTGTTTATGTAAAACCCCAGTGGTGATTAAGTACCACCAAACAAAAAGTCTAGTTGTGTGAAAAAAAAAAGATATAAATTTCCTTACAGTGCTGCTATTACCAGTGAAGTAGTGCAGTGCTGAATAGCAAAAAAAATGGCCTGGTTATGAAGGGGGTCAAGTGGTGAAATTGGGGTGACGTTATGGGTTGGCGGGTTATGCCTATTGGATTGTTTGCCAATCTGATCGTTTTTGATGAGATGGCACATAGAGCAGATAAAATAAAAGGCCACCGTTAGAGGAGCCCTTGGTTGCAAAGTCTACAAAAACACAGGACTACTGTTAAAAAACTGCAGAGGGACTACAACTCCCAGCATGTCCTGTCATGTGTTTTTAGCTTTGCAGAACGTGGAAAGCCGCGAAACCTGTTTTCCAGTACAACATACGACACAGGTCACTGATGTAATAGATAACCCGGGGCAAATGAGATGAGTCAGCCACGTCATACTCTGTGTATTTCTTCTACAGCGCATGATGCCGTACAATGCACCTGACCCCTATAGTATCTATCTATCTATCTATCTATCTATCTATATTTATACAGTATATGTACCAACCAGCAACTGAAATCTGATGAAATCTGATGATTGTCTGAATAGAGGAGGCCCAACACACAGCAATCGACACAGAAGACAGCAGGACACACCATGCTCGGTGATCCCTACCCATAGCAAACACATTATATCAAGGCTCCCTATTCTAATAAAGATTCTACTCACAAGTCTGCCATAGGAGGATCAGGAACAAAGCCGTAACGGCGGACATTTTCTGGGGAAACTGGATGCAGTGTGAAGTTCAAGGATCTTGCCTTATTTTCACTTTCATTTTGTATCTATTACTATGGGAGGCAGGAGGGGTGAGGAGTGAGGAGGACGTCTGCACTTCATATTCACCATTCAGGAAGGAGAGGGAGGGAGAAGATCCATGATGAATGAAGAGGAGACTGTGTGTACACAGGATGATGTTTTGTCCTGTATTCCCCACAACCTCTTCATGAGGGAAGGGAAAACAACATCTGCAACATTCTGCAACATCTCCATGTATTAATGTAGCGTTTCACTCTGAATGAGCCGCTGTTTTCTCAGGTCTCAGAGCCAATCATCAGCATGACGCTCTCCGACACACCGGGCTGAAGAGAGGGATATAGAAACATAGAAGAGTGACACTGAAAAAAGACCAAGTGGTCCATCAAGGCGGCCCAAAATGTTTTTTTTTTAATATACATATTATAATTACAGGAACTTATATAGCACCATCAATTTATGTAGTGTGTTACATATATATTGAACATTCACATCAGTCCAAAACCCTCAAGAGGCGTACAATCTAAGGTCCCTAACTCACATTCATACATACACATACTAGGGACAATTAACCTACCAGCATGTCTTTGGAGTGTGAGAGGAAACCAGAGTACCCAGAGGAAACCCACACAGGCACAGGGGAGAACACACAAACTCCAGGCAGGTGGTGCCGTGGTTGGGACTCAAAACAACAAACTTACTACTTCCAGGCAGAAGTGCTAACCATTTAGCCACTTTGCTGCATTTATATATCTATACAGTGTATAGATAGATAGATAGATAGATAGATAGATAGATAGATAGATAGATATGAATAGATAGATAGATAGATAGATAGATAGATAGATAGATATGAATAGATAGATAGATATGAATAGATAGATAGATAGATAGATAGATAGATAGATAGATATGAATAGATAGATAGATATGAATAGATAGATAGATAGATAGATAGATAGATAGATATGAATAGATAGATAGATATGAATAGATAGATAGATAGATAGATAGATAGATAGATATGAATAGATAGATAGATAGATAGATAGATAGATAGATAGATAGATAGATAGATAGATAGATCAGTGGCGTCTCGAGGCAGGTGCTGGGGGTGAGGTCCGCACTGGGTGACACCGACTGCACAGGGTGACCGAACTACTCCACGAAAAGGTAAGTTGTAAAGCAAGCCGACAATCCCCGCAGGATGGATCGTCAGCATGCAACCTATAGAGGGTGACACCGGACCCGCTCCACGAAAAGATAAGTTTTAAAGAAAGCCGATGATCCCCGCAGGACAAATCCGATCTGCGTATTAAGCATAATGGATCGGAGTCCATTATGCTCAATCCGCAGATCCAATCCATCCTGCGGGGATCGTCGGAAGGGGTATCACCAAGTGTTACTGCACCGGGTGACACCAACCGTAGGGTCACACCTGAGATATAGATAGATAGATAGATAGATAGATAAGTATATATAGAGAGAGATAGAGAGAAAGATTATATATATATCTATATATATATATATATAGATATATATATATAAATGTTTCTCTTGAAGGGCCACACTCCATGTGTTTCAGTTGCTTTTATTCTGCATCCAAAACGCTCAGAAAGTAGGTTATATGGTTGTCAATGTCATTGTTCACATCGGTGCTTGAAGTTCCAGTGCGTTCCGGTGTGTTTTTGATGCGTTTTACCGCGCTCCAGTACAGTTCCGGTTTCAGAAAAAAAAAGTAGAACAGGCTGTATTTTTTCCTGCACAGAACTGTACTGGAACGGGGTAAAACGCATCAAAATCACAGCGGAACGCACCAAAAACGCACTGGAATGCACATGTCCCTAATTAAATTGAAGAAAAAGAGAGGGGGGGAAGTGAATCAGAAAAGCATTAAAAATGCACCGAAACGTGTCAAAAACGCACATGCGGAAACACATCCGGAATGCATCTGGACTGCGTTTCTATGGTGTGAACCAACCCTTTAGCTTTTTGTCCCAGTTTAGATCTTTGGTTGCTGTTGACTGGCTTGCTACCTCTGCTGGAAGTCTATTCCAAGCATCAACTACTCTTTCAGTAAAATAAAACTTTCTAAGATTAATTTTGAATTTTCCTCCAGTTACTTTGAGGTCCTGTCCCCGTGTTTATGATCTTAGCTTTATATTGAAGATACTGGCCTCCTGAACCTCATTCACCTCCTTCATGTAATTATAGGTTTCAGTCATATCTCCATATGTCTCCCCTTTATTCAAGATGGCGTCGCCATCTTGACTAAAGAATGCCTTGTGGCTTCACAGTCAGTGTCCTACTGCGCATGCGCAAAGCGTGCTATGCCTTGTGAAAGGGCCGCAGGCTTCTGAGACCTGTGAAGTGTCCCAAAGGGCTGCTGGGGGGAAGGAGGAGGGGCTGAACTTTAGGTTCAGTTCACCGTGGCAAACTTGGCCAGATGTAAGAGTGGGTACCTGTCAAAACAAGGCACCCGCTCCACCCTCCCCTCCACAAGGTGCCAAATGTAGCAGTGGAGGGGAGGAGGAGGCAGATAAGCAGAACTTAAAGTTTGGGTTGGAACTCCACTTTAAGGGGGTGTACAAATATATAAGCTTCCTAGCTTCCAAAATCCAACGTATAATGCCAAAAAAATACCTTTAGATTGTAAGCTTCATGAGCCAGGCCCTCCTATCCCTCTTGTATTGAACTGTATTGTTGCTGTATTGTCTCCCGTTATATTGTAAAGCGCTGAGCAAACTGTTGGCTCCATATAAATCCTGTATAGTAATAATAATAATAATAATAATAATAGGGCTCCATGCACACGGGGTGTTTTAATAATGCTGCTGGTAGCATTAGCAGTGTAAATTTGTGTTAAAAACACAAGTTTTTCAGTGTTTATTAACGTTTAGCCATGTTTTTCCGTGTTTGCATTTTTTTACACAAAAAAAAACTAAAAAAAATTTTGCTAAGTAACACAGACAGCTGAAACATTAAATGTTAATCATTACTAAAATACCGCATGACTTAATAATAGAAGTTGAAGTATTTTAGGAGCTGTCCGGTATCTTACCACATACTCAGATGCGGTAAGATACTGTTCAGCTACTAAAATACTGTGAGTTCTATTATTAAGTCATGCGGTTCGAAGTTAGCGGTCGAACTTCCGTTAGGTTCGAATGTTCGACCATGAACCGATCAGGGGGGTGTTCAGCCCATCACTACTCAACATTTGTACAAATATAATCCATGCGGTTTTCTTTTATCTGGATATTTTATATAGGATTGCTTTTTTTGTTTGTTTGGGTTTTTTAATAGTGCTACATAAATAAAATGATTCTATAACAAGTCCATCTTTCATGGTTGATATGGTGCTTTAACCCCCCTGGCGGTATTCCCGAGTGTAGCTCGGGGTAAAGTTTCAGTACCAAAAAAGGTAACCCTGAGCTACACTCGGGCTTACCATGCGGCGTTGCTCAGGGATTCCCTACAGCGCTTACTTTGTCCTTCGCTCCCGCGATGCGTCCCTTGCAGCGTCCCCGCCCATCTCCTCCGGCCGATGCCGGCATCTGGCTTCCGTGTTCCGGTCCCTGTGACGTCGGGACGTATGGGCGCCGGAACCGGCGGCAAATTTAAAAATTAAAAAAAAATGACATTTTTTTTAAAACGATTATTTCATAGCAAAACATTCCTGTATCAAACCATTTCACATACATTTTGTCCCGAGTGCTTTGTCTGGCGCCCTACCTGCATTTTGACTGTTCTTTCTGCCTGGAAACTTAAAAAAGTCAACGGCGTCCAAAAAGTGTCCCTTTAGGTCAAAAGCAGGTTTCGACCGGCTAGAGAACAGCGATAGTAAATCAGAACCACTTGCAGAATTGAGTGATAATGATTCGTGGGGAAATTCGTCATCAGACACTGAAAACGATTCTGCGACTTTGCTCAGTGATGTGCGAACTTGGCGCTATATTTCACATTTCAGTGTTTTTGGTTTGATAATATTATTGAATTACATTTATTATTATTATATTATTATTTTTTATGAGTATTTATTAAGTAAGTAATTACTAAGAATTGCAGGCCTATAATACATAACACCAAATTTCCATGCAAAAAAATGGTACAAAATTCCTGACATAATCATACCGCCAGGGAGGTTAAAAATCTGGATTCTTTTCCTCTCATAATTTTTGTATCAAGAAAATCTTAGCTTGGACAGTTGTCCAATATGAATTACATTTTTTTGTATATGGGACTTGAATTTTTTAATGCAAAAAAATATAATTTACAATACAGAAACTCTCAAAGAACCAGCAGATGTTCTTCATTGCTCTAGACAAAGCTGTTCTTCATTATATGATATACTGAGGCAGCGTCTCCTGAACCCGTGTGATAAACATTACATAACATTATTCCGTGTGATATCTAATGTCCATGTGACTTCTTGAGGCACCAAGAGTTTATAGGGAAGATTTCTTTTTTTTTATTTTTACAGAATGGGCTGTTGTCTCTTGCAGTTATGCTAGGACTACACCACTAGATTAGGTGCAACTAGTGCATACATATTCTCAGTTGGTTGTGAAATCTGGACACTATGGAAACAGGATAGAAAGAAGATCGACTTATTTGAGCTTTGGTGGTGGAGAAGCCATGATGTGTGCCGGGGACTGCCCATACAACTAATAGATCGATTATGCAAGAGATCAAACTGGCTATGTCACTAGAATCCCAAATGACTAAATGGTTAGCACTTCCGCCTGGCAGTACTAGGGTTGTTGGTTCAAATTCTAACCACGGCACCACCTGCCTGGAGTTTGCATGTTCTCCCTGTGCCTGTGTGGGTTTTCCTCCCACACTCCAAAGACATGCTGGTAAGTTAACCTCCCTGGCAGTATTCCCGAGTGTAGCTCGGGGTAAAGTTTCAGCACCACAAGCGGTAACCCTGAGCTACACTCGGGAATACACTGCAGCGTT